TAAACTTAAAAATTATCAAATTGTATAACTTAAAATGTGTGAACTTAGAGGTATGGATAAAGCAGTTTAACATCTTTTTCAGTTCACACACTTTGATTTTGTAGTAACTTGAAAATTATTATTAGTAGATACAAATTTTCCTAACTTCAAAAAAAATAGATTGGGGAGTATTCCAGACTTGGTTATATTACAAAGGAAATATCACACCAGTATATCAATTGGATTAATTCTTATTGATTTATTCAAATTTTCTCTTCATTGAACCACTCAGAATTTTATACTTTTTTGTAGTCATGTATTCATTTTGATTTTCAAATATATTAGCATATAGCTGTAATATGCTCTCCTTGTATTTATATCTCATTTTTTATATGGTTAGTCTTAGTTATTTCATGTTTTTTTTGTGTGTGTGTGTGCGTGTGTGCACAAATGCGTGCATGTGAACGCATGCATACAGGTACAGAATCTAGGGCCCTCTACCCCTGAGCTACAGCCTTAGCCCTTTTTAGTTTTTCTTTTGTGAGATGGTCTTGCTGTTGTCTGAGGCTGGCCTCAAACTTGGGAGCATCCTGCCACAGCATCCCTAAGAGCTGAGATTACAATTTTGAGCCACCAGGCCTGGCTTCTTTTTCTCGTTTATCCATCCTACTAGAAACCTGTTCTGTCAGCCTTTTAAAACAATCTTTACTGTTATATTTATTTTCCAAATTACGTTTACTTTGCTCATTTAGAATGGGTTGAGAAATACTTAGTGCTTTATTTTTTTTCTATTTTATGACAAGAGTATTTAAAGATATTTTCATCAATCTCAGGATTTTTACATAGAATGTTTCCATTCATCATTATTTAACAAACATTTCTTAATCCTCTCTCCCTCAAATTTATTAATACATTATTTAATTTTAACATATGTAGCACTTTTTAAATTTTTCACCAGCTTTTAATATTAGGAAAATTTGGTAAGAGAATAGAGACTCTGATATTGATCACTTGGGATTTCTTAAGATTTTCTTTGTTGCCTAACAACTATTATTTTATAAATGTTTCAGAAAATATGTTATTCTAGAAAAAAATTATTTTCTGCTTCTTGAGTATTATTTTTCTATAAAAATGGAATAAACTTTTAAAATTTTTTCTTTAAAAATTTAAAAATTCTCAGCATCTGAGAAGTATATTTTAATATCTCTAATTGATTGCTTCTCCACTGCTATTACTTGCCTGTATTTATTGTCTGATTCCTTTAATCTAGATGGATTAGAGTCATTATTGTGATATACCTTCTTGTTCTCTTTTACTTCATGTACTGTTCTTTGTCACTTATGATACATTTTGACTGAAGTCTATTTTTAAGTTTTAATATTGCTGTATCTGGCATTATTTTTCTTAATTTTTTAAAATATTTGTGAGCTTTTAAACTTTGTCTCTTGTGATCAAACATGGATTTGATTCTATTTTTAAAAATCCACTATGAATTGCCTTTTATTTAATTTTATATTATTTAGTTATTTACTTTTGTGGTGCTTAGGATCAAACCCAGGGCCTCATGCGTGCTAGACAAACACTCTACTGCTGAGTCACATCCCCAAAGCTCTAATTGTCTTTTATTTTGTGGGTTTAACCCATTTACATTCATTGTCACTCTGTTATAGTAGGTCTCGTGTCCCACAGTTTTTCATATTTTCAGTTACTGCACTAATTCTTCTTCTTCTTATTATTATTTTTTAAAATTTTATTGGTACTGGGATTCCAACCCAGGGCTTCTCAAGTGCCAGCAAGTCACTTTGCCACTGAACTACATCCCACCCCCAGTTACTGCACTAATTTCTAAGTTATTTTTAAAGTAGATTACTCTTTCTTAGTTTTCTTTGGTTCTGATTTGAATGTAACTATTTAGTTTTATTCTTGTTATAACTACCTTGAACCAAAATCCATACTTTCAGTTATTTACTATTGCCTATATCTGTGTCTGTTGTTACTGCTATCTTTACTTTCTCTCCTAATATGTTACCTTTCCTCAGTTTAGTTTCTGAAAACACCCTGTAAACCTCTACAATTTTGTTTTAAACAAGAGTTTAGTGGTTAGTTGCTATGGCTATTTAGTTCTCTTGATCTTTCATTTTTGTCATTACCTCTAAAAATTTTTTTCTATTTGTTGAGATGCTTTTACCTGCAGGACTTCTAATTTAATTCCTTATGTTCTTTAGATTTTCTCTTCTATTTTAAATTAGTTTTCTATTTCCATTGCCTTTTAGTAGAGTACCTTGATCCATTCCTCTGGTTTGAAAATTCATCTATTTTAGCTATATAATTTTTATTCTTTATATTATATATTATTTAAAATATTTTCTAATTGAAAATATGCCACTTTTTTCTTCCTTTATAACTTCTATTCTCTTGTTTCATATTGCTGTTATATTTTTATCTCTCTAAATCATAGTAATGCTTTTGATATATTATTTTTCTATCCATTCCAACAATTTTGCTTTAGTTGATACATGCTGTTTAATGTACTGAATTTCTTTTATGTTGTTTTACTGAGATATACATACATTTTAAAAATTTGTTCTAATTAGTTATACATGACAAAAGAATGCATTTTGACACATCATACATAAAGGGAGTATAACTTCTCATTTTTCTGGTTGTACATGATGTAGAATTATACCAGTTGTGTAATCATATATGTATTGGGTAATAAAGTCCAATTCATTATTGTACATACATTTTTACTGTTAAGTTTTCATAATGAGTTTAGCTACCTTTTCTTGCTAAAGTGAGTTAGACAATGTTCAAGGTCAAGTTTCTGGTGCATGTAAGCATAAGACAAGGGATAAGGCCTAGACTGAAGATTCTGGAACCACTGCCTCCCACTCCAGTTTGCTCCTCTGGGTCAGGATGCATCTGCGAGCTCCCAGGAGTTGTCAGCATTAGGAAGTGGTGTTTTCTGTAGTCTGTGATTCACGTACCCATGGAGTATAGAGAAGAAGGAGGTGGAGTATTAAATGCTTGCACCTGTTCTCATGGCCGCCCAGCTGGACTTTTGATTTGCCCCTGGCAACACTTGTGATCTAATATTGCCATTAATTTTCTGGTGAAGGGAAAGAGCACTGATTGTCCCAAGTTAATTACTTTGATCTGTAATTTCTTTATTCTCTGTAGTTTCCAGAAATGACTTTTGAGAGAAGGCCAGCAGCTCATATGCATTGTCTCTCTCTCTCTGTATTGCTCTTTTATGCTCTACCCACAGTTATTTCTGCCCCTTAAGCAAAACAATCCAGTCATCTCTATGAATTCTTGTCCACATTTTCTGTACCAAGAATGTTCTCCCCTTAGTCCTCTGACTGTTGACTTCTCATTAATCTCATCTTCCCTCAAATGTCACCTTTGAAGAAAGACCTTTCTTGCATGTTGAAAGTTAGAACCATCACTATTCTAGGCACTATCATATTGTTTAGTTTGGTTTTTGTAGCACTATCATATAAAATTGTTGTATTTTTTTTCTATCAGAAGGTAAGCTCCTTATAACAATATTATACATATATATACTCATACATACATATACATATACACACATAAATATATATATATATATTGCTGGGGAAGATTCATAGTCTAGTAGAGAACTTAAAATCTTATATAAATGTAATAAACTTTATAAAATAAATGAGCAAATGAATGAATGAAATAAAATTATTTATCTTATTTTCACTCTACTAGTGACTTCTTCCTGAATATAGGAAGTGGATAGTGGAATAGTGTTATATGTTCTCCTCTCTATTTTAAAATCTTCTTGTTTTATTACCTTCTAGGAGAGTTCTGTAAGCATATATTCTGGTTGATAAATTTACTATATATATATATATATATATATATATATCCCCTTAATTGCTATATTTGTGGCAAACTAGATCATAAAAGGAATATGTTCTAAGTGTTCCATATATACCATTAAAATATTTTGACAGTGATGACATCAAAAAATATTTTTCAATGTGAGGTCCAAAGCTTGGGGTATTTCCATTTTATGCAACTGATTTTAGATAGAATTTAAATTTAAGGTAACACTCTCCTTTAGTTAGCATATGTCACAATAATTGTTGCCAAATAATATTTTGTGAGTATTTGTATGATCTTTACCACAGACCTGGAATGTGGGTAGGGTGTGAATTCTCATTTTTCAGGTGAGGATAATGAGGTTCAAAGAGGTGAGATAAGTGGGTGGCACGTCTGAGATATAAACACAGCTTTCAGTTATTGCCAGGTGCAATTGTTTTCTCACTATACAGGTGTCCCTAAGTCTATGCCATATTTTTTGGGATTTCTCTGATTATCCCTAAAAGATGTTTTAGCTTTCTTGGCTTGATTGTCAGTGGAGAAAACATTTAAAATCACAACAACAGATGATTAGAATGTGTTAGGACTATTTCAACTGCTGTACATGTAGTAACATGCTTACATATCCTTGTAGTCCTGAGAGGTTGGTGAAATTATGTTCTGTTAGCAAATGTGGACGATTAAGTGCCATGAGGTTAAGCTACTTGCCCAACCCACACAGCTAGCAAGTGGTAGAGTTAGAACTATGAACACAGAAATGTGACTTTTAATAATCACTCCAATCTATAATAGCAGAAACTTTATAGTAGTTTATAGCTTACAGACTTTTCATATACATTACCTGTGGAGCCTCACTAACACTCTATGGAGAAGGAGGGCAGGATTTGACAGTGTACTAAGTTTCAGAGAAGTGATTTGACCAACTCCACCCAGATAGCATGTGGTTGAAATCATACTGAGATCCTTTCTTTTGAAAGGTAATTATATCTCTATTCTTAGATATGTTCCATTACCCATGATTTTATTAGCATACTGATCTTGATATGTTTTTTTTTTTCTTTCTGATGGCGAGTTATGTGATTCTGGGCTTAAACTTTTAACCTATTTGTATCTAATGAATATTTTATTTCTTGTATTTTAATGCTCCTTGATAATGTCTCTTTCAGCTGAATTGCAGTGATTTCCAGAAAGGAGAAAAAGATGGGGATTTTATCTGTACTGCTGATGATGCTGCAGTTTGTGGCACAGATGGGAAAACATACCGCAACAGATGTGAACTGTGTGCTGAGAATCAGTGAGTGGTCTGCCTGTTCTCTGCATAGTCATAGGACGTCTTCCCCCCATCTTTAAGATAATTCATTTTGTGGAAGTTAACCACCCATAAGCTATTAGTACCACTTTTTTTTTTACCAGTTTTAAGAAAGGAGTATGTAGAGTTATGTGTGTAGCATAATTTTATATTTTACTTTTGTGTGYACTGTCATCACTGTCTTTATTAAGTAAACAGGATAGGGAGATTTTATATATGTGTGTGAATATGTATAATATCTGTACACATGTGTGTATGTACATATATAGACATATGCCTGTATGCAATATGGATGTTATATGTATACATGTGTGTCCTTACACACTTCTATCAATCTATTTATCTAACATGCCATTTTAAACAGAGATTGATTTCATCTCAAATGATATATGTGTTCATTAATTAAAATAATATTCATTAATTAATTAGAGTAAGAAATTGGACCTTTAAATAATGAATTTCTTCTCATCTATTTAATTTTTGCCCAATAGATAAAGCATCTCACTGCCCTATATTTTGCCCCCGTTTTATTCCTTCTCCACCCTGGAGGCTAGGCTTGGTTATTGATTGTTTTCCATCAACAGATGCAGACCTGCTGTGCAGGTTCTGAATTGTGACCTCAATCTTGAGTTGTCTGCTCTTGAGTTTTTGCAAATATAATAACTAATGTATGAAAAGAGTAGTCGGGCCATACTCATTCTTTGATATTCTTTAAGTTTTATCTTTTCTTACAATAAGAATCTCCCACCAAAATAAAACTCTGATCCTTCACATGTTGAAATTTTCAGAAAACATTCTGAAATTAGGCTCTGAACTCCCACCAAGGGCCAATATAAAGAAACAGAAAGGAAAATAGACATGTGAAGAACATGCAGGTTGTTATGAGATATATTTATTTTGTAACACAATTGCAAACAAAAGAAACACTTGTTTTTTACTGTCTTGAGTGAGGAATCCTGTTTAATATCTTCAAATCTCTAATCCAGATGAAAATTCCTCTTCTTAGATTTCTAGAATACTCCTTGTTATTATACACTGAGAAACATACTGCCCGTTAGGTTTCTTTTTTAATATTTTAAGAATTTAAAATATTAAGAAAGAAATTTATTTCTTTCACAATATTTTGAGAATTTAAAATTTAAATTTTAAGAATTTAAAATATTAAGAAAGAAATTTATTTCTTTCACAATATTTTAAGAATTTAATTTTAATAGTTTTCCTCAGCCAATATCATTGGAAAACAAACTTCTTATCAGTCTTACATATTTTATTTTTATTTGTGTTATTTTTGTTGTTATACAGATCTTAAATTGCAAGCTGCCTTTTTAGAAATTAGGAAGTGTCTTACCTTTATGGTTCTATATTAACAGATATTTTTTTAAAGGTCTACTAGACTAAACAGAGTAAATTATCAGAATTTTAAGTACTTTTCTTGAAAAAATAAATTACTATTCAGGTTAACCCAAATGAAGAGAACTATGGTRGGATGCTGGATAATAAAAGCTTGAGTTTGTTTACTAAAAATAACAAGAGCAACTACAGCAAAGTTTTTGAGAGCATCTTACATCTAATTACAAGTCTTCCTTTGGCCATCTTCTGATGTGAATTCCCACCCAAGACACAGGAAACAAAAGGTCTCTGGAAATTACATTCACAACTCTGAATGTTATCAGCCTTCCAACATAGCCATTTCTTTGACTTCAGGTTCTAACTGAATAGGCTGTCATTAGACAACTGAAGTAAAGAATGGAATGTAGCACTGTTCTCAGTTGGAAAAAAGAATCAAAATACAATGAAGAGAAGCAAAGTGGGAATGGTGGGGAGTTAGTTCTGTGATATTAACTGGTAAATCTGCTAACTTGTGATTTCAGGAAGACCAGCTCCCAAGTTGGCATAAAAGGCGAGGGAAAATGTGAAAGCAGTAATCCAGAACAGGTGAGGACAGGAGTCAGGGTGGGGGAAAGCCATGGGTGGGTGGGGGGTGACCTCATAGAGAAAGTGGGTGCTGTCCTCTTCCTCTTTGGTGCATGCCTGCAAGGAAGTAGTTCTTGTTTTGCTTGAAATGGAATAGTGAATACACCAGCTAATATGGACAAGTAGTTGATAGTTCCTGAAAAGAATCACTTTACTTAGGTGGTTAGACCTTCCAACTCTATTTCTGCTTTTATTAAAAAAAAAAGGAAATCAATCAATCAATCTAAAGGAAACTGCATGTGTGGTGAAAAGGGCCCTAAAGTTCAGTCATTTAACCTGATTTGAAACTCCAGAGTTGTCATTTGTTGACAGAAGGCCTTGTAAATTACTTCACTAAAATGATATTTAGTATAAATAGCTACTTTCAATGCTGATTCTGTGAGTCTTCAATGGTAGGGGAAAAAAGAAAGTGTCACAATGGGGCTTGACATTTTCTAGCTGAAGAATATTCCTGCTCTTCAGAGTTCAGTTCCCTTGCTTTAGGCCTCTGAGGTACTTGAGATTACCTCCCTGAAGGACTTTAGCACATACTATTTTAAATATTTCTTTATCTGAATCTCCTAGGAGATAGTGAGCTACCTGAATTCTAGCACAATCATCATGCTTACTGCATTAATGAATGAATAAGTAAATAAGTAAATATACTTAAGTATATGAATTACAACTACTCATTGAGCTGCCTCTACACAGTTGGCACTGCTTTAGATGGCTAGGGCCATCATGATGCAAGAGGTGCTGGCTTCTGTAAAATTTATGAAAGTAGTGTTGTAAGTACTGCAGTCACCCTAACAAATGCCAAGTTCCCTTCCCTGTTCTTCAGGATGTATGCAGTGCTTTTCGGGCCTATGTGAAAGACGGAAGACTTGGATGCACAAGAGAAAACGATCCAGTTCTTGGTCCTGATGGGCGAACACATGGCAATAAGTGTGCAATGTGTGCTGAGCTCTTGTAAGTATCCTCATACCCAGGTGGTCCTCTGAGCATGCACAGGGTTTCTCCCCAGGAACCCCTCCATGGAGCAAACATTCTTTTTAGGAAGCATGCAATCCTTTGTCTTTATAATGTGAAACAGGCTTTGCTTTCAGAATGGCTTGTTTTTTCTTTTTCTTCATATAATCAATTGTAGTTTCTAAAAAGGAGAGAATAAAGTGGTCATGCTCATTATTAAATTTGAGACCCTGCATTTTTGGAAATACCCAGTGTTTTATAAGGCATAATGTTTTAATATTCAGAAACAATTTTATATAGAATGATCTAGGTCAGTAATTTGGCATGCATTGCTTCATTTGGGCATGTGGAGAGATCCTTGTTGAATAATGACAGTTTAACTTTGATAAAAATAATGATGATAATAATAATAATAGTGCCATGTGTCTGAATTCATTGTTAGTTTAAGTGAATGTAATAAAAGAAAAAGAACAATTGGGTGAACCTTTATCTGAGTGCCTGGCACTGTTTTAGATACTGGAGACTCAGATATGAATATGAGGCAATTAGTCTTTTATATTCTGTCTGTTAAACTAGGTGTAGACTCTAATCCTTGCAGCAGCAAGCCTTGAAGTGCTATATTTACATTACTGAATCTTTAAAATCAGGGCAAAAGAAGATTTAACAGATTAATAAACTTCACACTTGCTTTTGAAAATGACTGTCAGCAGTTGTAAATTCCAAGGGCATGTTCCATCAGGTTCAGGAGACAGTGATGTGATTATTATTGGTTTCCAGACAGGAAAGTGGATTTCCACTTTCTTACCTAGGAGGCATGTGCTTTTGGTGTTCAAACCTGCCCTAAATTCTGTAGTTTTCTGTTTCTTTTCATGCACCAGCTGAAAAAGAGTATTTGAGCTTTCTAAGCTGGTTCTTCCACTGTAGAAGTGATATTGCAATGCCTGTCTCCAGGATGAGACTATAATTAGGTAATAGATGTGAAAGGGTTTAGGAGCTCAATTCAAATTTAGCTTTTATTAACAACCATTCCTTTACATGAAGGCAAACAAATGCTTTAAGGTTTAAGAAGCTAAACACAAGGGCGTGGATAGCAATGCCTCAGATGTGCAGTTTGGTTTCACCTGTCACAGCATTGTTCTAAAGACCTTGGTTCTGCCTATTAGAGGGAATTTTCCTGACAGCCTCCTGTTTGTCAATCAAGGTGGCACACCCATCCACTCGTACAGAACAAAGCTTCTAATTGACTGGCAGTGAGTCAGTTTCACACCCTTCCTTATCTTTGGTAATTTCTCTGGCTCAAGCATTCAAGACAGGGAAATGTTTGTCTCCTGCAAATGGATCAGTTTCAACAGGTTATGGCAGAGGACACAAAAGTGCTTAGAGTAAGGCTGGATTCTGAAAATAGGATCGAGCCATAGACTAACCAGCTGTTTACTTTCTGTAACAGTTTGAAAGAAGCTGCAGAAAATGCCAAGAGTTTGAAAGAAGCTGCAGAAAATGCCAAGCGAGAAGGTGAAAATAGAATTCGAAGAAATGCTGAAAAGGTAAATGATTCACCAATATAATTTGGCTCATGTGGTCAGGAACATTAACCAAATTATGCTTGAAAGTTTAAAACAATGCAATAATGTCATTGTCTTTTATTACCATGTGGCTTCTTCTGAATGTTAAAATTCCTCAAATTAATTAATTTATTTTTTAACTCAAGGGCACTTGACCACTGAGCCACATCCCCAAACCTATTTTGTATTTTATTTAGAGACAGGGTCTCACTGAATTAGCATTTCGCCATTGCTGAGGCTGGCTTTGAACTAGAGATCCTCTAGTCTCAGCCTCCAGAGCCACTGGAATTACAGGTGTGAGCCACTGCACCTGGCTGAAATTCCTCAAATTGACTATTACATTGCTTAGTTTTAATGTTAAAAAAGTCCACAAATTGATTATTCCTACTTTATTATCATTAGGTTCAGATTTAAACCAACGTTTCCCATTCAAACCTCAAAACATGAATCTCCACCTTTGTTTCCTAGTCCCCCCAAAAGGATCAAGTTTGAGTATACTAAATCTTACTAATTTTTATCATCCTTCTCCCTGGCATGGCTTAAACCATTTTACCTTGAATAATATTTTAAACAATTGCAACATAATATAAATGAGGAATGACTTTAAACTCTTCAAACAATGTACTCCCTGATGTATTTTATAACAAATTCCTCTGACAGAGTTTATTCACTTTTCCATATGGTTATTACCTTATTGAGATTTGCAGTTATAAAGGTATTGCTTTTGCTTAAATGAATATCTCTAAAATTGAGATGGTGGTTCAAAAAATACTCTTAAAATGAAGGGGTTTTCCCCCMAAAAAATTATTTGATAATTTATTTATTTTTCAATCTAATACAAAAAGTTATTCCTTTTGTTAACTAAAGAGTCACTGTAGCTAATGCAGTTTGGATTTTAAGTCACATCAAACCAACTTTAAATAAGAAGTACAGCAATTGCTTTGCTAAGTGACTGGCCTTTCTGAAGTTAGGACACCTGGGTTTTAGCTTTGTTTTGTCATGCTGTGGGTGTGTGAGACAAAGCAAATCTTCTCCTCTCTGGGTCTCAATTTTCTTGTCAGCAAAATAAGGAGGTTGGATGAATGACCTCGATTTCTTCTCTTCTTCCGGTTGGACTGTGATTCTACATCCTGCATTCTTTGTACTAACACAAACATTATTTTTGTGGATTGTAGGGTTTGTGTTTTCCTATGGAAAATACAGACACAATGTTTGGAAATCAAGAGCAGACCCTCCTTCCACATCACAGTGTTAGATAATGAAACAAAATTCCAAATTCAGTGGGGTATTCTGAGTTAAAATTTGAAGAAAAGGCTATGGAGAACCCTCCACAATGTGCTGGACACTCTCCAAGGATTGAAAGTAGTCCTTCCATGGTGGTTGGTAAATTTTGGTCTAAGGGTCCTGTGATAGGTAGCATTTATTACTCCCGAATACAGGAAGTTGTTCTCCCCTGGTTTTCTCCGTGTCTGGGCTACTCTGGCTTCTTCTTTAAGTGGCTGGGGTCATTAGGCGTAACTGCATTGAATAGGACTGCTTAACACTGATGGCTCAATATGGCTCTATAATTAACCTGTCAGTGGGTTGCTCACAAAAGTGTTTCTTCAGAATCTCCTTGGATGAATCACAACTTATAAACCGAAATTATCATTGTTTCCCTTATGGGAATCATTAGGCATTGATTTTATTACCGTGTCATGATTATCAGCATCTGTTTTCCTAGATTGTTACAACCAGGAAGTTTGGCACATACCCTTTACTCCTCCATAAACAAGTACCTTATTATAAGGAGGCAATTAGGATTCTCCTTTAGAGCACCCTATTGAAATTTGAATCATAAAGAAAAATCAGAAAATGCTTGATCTAAAACAGATCCTTAAAATCTTCTATTCCAAAAACCTCACTGTGTGGGTGGCAATGTTGAGTTCCCAAAGGTGATGGGACTTTGTTACGGTCTCCCAGTGAGTCGAGCCACAGTCTGACTGCCCAGGTTCTCTGACTCCCAGTCATCCTCTTTATGCTCATGTTTCCTTGGTTGAAATGGAAGTTGAAAAGTTTATATAGTAAATTTTTTTAATAGTTTACATATTATAGTAATATATGCCATCACAGCATATGATGTGGAGATCTCAAACCCAGAGGAATTTGGGGTATGTTTTTTTGTTAAGTATAGCCCTCGGGCTGGAGATGTGGCTCAGCGGTGGCTCGCCTGGCATGCGTGCGGCCCGGGTTCGATCCTCAGCACCACATACCAACAAAGATGTTGTGTCTGCTGAGAACTAAAAAATAAATATTAAAAAAATTCTCTCTCTCTCTCTCTCTCTCTCTCTCTCTCTCTCTCTCTCTCTCCTCTCTCACTCTCTCTTAAAAAAAAAAAAAAAAAAAAAAAGTATAGCCCTCACCAAATAGAGCTTTCAAAACACAGGGGGGAAACCTGAAAGTTCTTTCCAAAGTTTCAGGAAATCTGAGAAGGAATCTCTCTTTGGTTACTTTGATAATTCACAATCTTTTTAGGTTATCTAAGTAGATATTAGTCTTGATGGTCTGTCAATCTCTCGAAGGTAGAAGAGAAAAAATTAGATTCACTCTTTCAGAGGCTTTTAACCTATCATGTCAGAAACTCAATAAACAAGGATAAAGAAAGCAGAGTACACATAATGCTGGACACCATCTTATTCTCTTTCCCTTGCAAATGAGGACTGGATTATTTTTGACTTGATCCTTATTAAGTAAAATTTAAACATCTAATTTCTTGAATTCAATCTTTTGTCCATTGAAATTTTTTTTTTTTTTTTTTTGTCTTGGCTAGTATTTTGTTGGGTTCATGTGGGAAAAATCTTGGCTTTTTTTTGGTTGTTGTTGTTCCTATGGATTAGGAATTAGCAAGATCTAGTTTTAGTTTTAGGAAACACTCTTTCTTTTTTCTTAGGCTGTTTTTGCCTTTTAATAACAGATAAAAGTGCCAAATAACTTCACAAATTGATTATTATTCCTTATTAATTCTCCTTAGTATGTTGTTTGTGTTTACCAATACTTCCAGACCTGACATCCTGTGATTATAAATCTATCATATAAAATGTCAAGATTAAAGAGTAAAAAATGGTGACTATAATGCCTTGTCTTTTTAAGGACCTCTGCAAGGAATTTGAGAACCAAGTGAGGAATGGGAGACTCTTTTGTACACGAGAGAGTGACCCCATCCGTGGCCCTGACGGCAGGATGCATGGCAACAAATGTGCGCTGTGTGCTGAAGTTTTGTGAGTACAGAACAGGAACACTTCCCAATCTCTGGAAAGGAGGAGGGAAGGCTCACCAGGACTGATCAAACATCCATTTGATGTTATTCAGAATAATATCGAGTGGAAGTTTTTGTCCGTGAGAATTGTGTGAGCAGTTTATGTCCTCCACAAATCACAATACCATCAGTAAGTTAGCACTAATTTTTTAAACTATTTTTTTAGTTGTCAATGGACTTCATTTTATTTATTTATATGCAGTGCTGAGAATCGAAACCAGTGCCTTACACATGTTAGGCAAGTGCTCTACCATTGAGTCACAACCTCAGCCCTAAAGTTTTGTTTCTTTTTCTGAGTGCAAACTGACTCCCTTTTCCAGTTAGAGGGCTGATTTCAAACTTCACATTTCCCCGGGGGACCTTTGTGAGCCGCTTCAGTACCCAGTCATAGCACAGAATGGGTTAAAAGCAGATTCTAAGATTTGTTTTTCTTTAGTAATTATATCATTGTGACAAAGTTGATGGAACAGCCTCAAAAAAAATTGTTTACACATATTTTAATTGTATTACCATTACCTTTTTATCTGGGATGTGTGGCCTTGGGAAAAGGACAAATCCCACTATGTATCAATTATGGCATTTATGAAGATGTCCCAGACAAGTGTCATTACACTTTCCTTCAGATCCCTGAGTTCTATAAGCTCTTACCCACTTGCTGTGTATTGCCAGTGTCTCTCAATCTTGGCATTTTAAGATTCTCTTATTTGGTTAAGAATTCTTGAAGTCCTTAATCAAAAATCAATCCTCAAATCCTTGGTAATGTTTTTTAAATAACAATCATCACAGTTGGTAATTGTATAACTGTTTCTATGACTCTTTGTTGATTATCACCCTAGTGGACTATATGTGTCAAGAGAATAGGGGACAGATTCATATATACATGATCGTATACCCAGGCCAAGGCCAAGAATTACCAAAAAATAGTTGCTAACTAAATGATGGGTGAAGGAATGAATGAGTAGATATGTAAATGATGATCCCTGCTGTGAAGAACCTTATGGTTAATAGCAGAAATAAGCCATAGACATGAACGCACATGCACATACGTGTTTACGAGTTGTAAGACAGAATGAAAGTTATTCTATAAGAGAAGAATTTTGAGGTATAACAACACAATGATTTACAGAGAGCTCATGTCTCTATAGGGTCTGGAATGACCTCTTCACAAATTTAAGCTGGGAATATTTAAAAGGAGAGATGAGAAAGAAGATCTTTTTAGTGCAGCTTAAGATGATTTAGATGTGCTTGTGCCAGAATCCAGGAAAACTTGGCTGCTTTTCTATCTATACCTAAGACTATTTTTCAGCATGACGTTTTAAAGCACCTCTACTAATTTTTTATTTATTTTTCCAGCTTGAGGAACTTTTCTGAAGAAAAAAATAAATCAGATCAAAATCTGATTGAGAATGAAGAAAATGTTAAAGTTAAAAGAGAAATTGAGGTGAGGAAGAGTCTGATCCGTCTGGTCATGACCTTTTGTGTGAGAGGTTTGGATGTGTGGGCATATTACTCTAATATGCACTTTCAATTTTGTTTAATATTTTCCCTACTACTAACAAGTTTTCTGGAAATTAATTTATAGTTATTGTTTTAAACTTATAAAAATGATTATGGCATTACCATTTCCATTTAYATTACCATACCATTTACATTACCATGTGGAGGAAAATAATCAAGGCTCATTAGTAAAATAATTCCACATTCCAAATGAAAGTGGTATATTCAAACATTGTCTGAACTCAAAGTGTGTTGTGTCTCTTCCATAGTGTGGTAGCTGCTGTAAAGATATTCATTTTAAAAGCAATAACCACGTACAAATTCAATATGCTTCCTTTAAAATCATGCTGCATTCATTTTCTAAACGTCTCTTAACTTACCATCTGCCTGTTTTTCTATTGCTGTTATCTTAGCTCAGACACCTCATAGTTTCYCTTTGCACAGGTGCATTGTCTCGTCTATAAACTTGTAATACACTTAGTCTCCATCTTCCTCAGTCCTCATGATYCATTCACCCTCCCTGTTGTCTTCATAGAACAGGAGATGTTTCATGAGTCCTTGGCATTATGAAATTCCAATGTTTAAAAATATCCTAGAGTATATTTGAGTCATTTATTGAAATGCTAGAAATCTATTGTGCAGAAACCCTATTTAGATTTATTCTTACTGTTACCAGCCTTCTCAGATACATAGCTTAGTTTGGCAGAGTGACCTGCCCCATTTAAGYTGCCTCTGTGTAACTCCATCTTGTTGCCTAGGCTTTTAATTTTAACTTCTTTCTTCCTCTTAATATTAGTTTACCAAGTTCTTCTAATTTTAGTGCTCAAATATGCCTCGACTATTCGATTATCTCTCACTTCCAATTCCTCCCTTCCCCATCTCTCCCCACCTTGGTTCGTTCCTTCCCTTCCTCCTTTCTTTCTGTTTCTAGAATCTGGTTAGTTTCTTTAATTTCAATCTCTATTCACTCAATTCCTTCACAAATTTCTTTGACAATCTTTCTATAACAAATATGATTCTGTCATTCTCTGCTCTATGTATTTATCATGTTTTCATTGCCTATGGATAAAATCCAAATTCCTTTAGAAGTTTAGAGGTCTGATTTTGATCATATTCAAGGTCTCCTTTTTGACCACTTCCCAAACCTTTCTTTTTTTTACACAACTAATTGTTTAGCTACTATACTCAAGGAAATGTTAAATTATCTCTAAAGAACATGTAGTATAATAYTGCCAGGATTTTGCATATCATAATTCCTCTTGAAGGACTTTTGTTCCATGGTGATCCTGTGTACATCCTCAAGACAGATCTTAGTCAAAAGTTCTTAGAACTTCCATTACACAATTAATCTAGACCTGAGTTATATTTCTTAGCCATGTATATTGAAATTACTTATTCTATTTGGCTAATAGAGGACCTAAATCACATTCATATTTGTATGCTCTTCATGTATTTGTTGAATCCTTAAATTGATGAATATTGCAAAAGGGAAGTGTTACAAAATTTTTGGTAGTCCTAAATCCTAAGTTTTATTTTTTTTTCATCTGAAATTTCTCTTTTCCAATTTCTTTGAATAAACAGCATACAAAATTTACAAATAGAGACCTATGTCTAAAGTATCTCATTTTCATTATTCAGAAACAATGCAGTGAATATCGAGATCATGCAAAGAAGGGGATACTTTTCTGCACCAGAGAAAATGACCCTGTCCGTGGTCTAGATGGAAAAATGCATGGCAACCTGTGCTCCATGTGCCAAGCCTTCTTGTGAGTATCGAGTTTTAGAATGTCACATGGTGCCCTAGTACAGCCAGTTTGTTCCATAGATAGGGAAACCATGGTGCAAGATTGGAGAGTTGAAAGGGTCACAAGCACAATGCTGCAGTAGAGCTGAAAGTAAGTGCTCAGAATCATTTGTTTTAAGTTGCCTTGTTTTCTCTGACGTTCACTCTCTTAGCACTGGAACCTCCTGACAAACATAAACTTATAAAAATCGTAGTTGCTGTTTTRTTACTGAAGCTTCATAGGTGAACCTATTTGACAAAATAGGCACCTCATTTTCCATGGGGGTTGGAGTCAAAAGTTAGCACTGATAGAAATTGAATGAAATTGCCAAATTTCTCTAAAATTATCTTAAACATTACTTTATATACTCTGACATTTTTAGTAAGTGAGAACTAACAGTTTCCTTTTACTACTTAGAATAGTTCTTACTTTATTTGGTTATGCTCAGACTAAGTATTAGACTATATCTAKATTATAAAAAAAGCTATATTTAAATTTTGTACTGGTTAATAGCCATGTACAGCTGAAATACCAGCAGGTAACTGTGCATACCATACAATTGGATTGTACAAAACAAATTTAGGGTCATTTGGTTTATCAATGTGTGGAAATCATGATTTTTTTTGCCTGTTGGTATCATCTTTTGGGTTTTACATAAAGTAGCTATGAATAAATGCTGCATTTAAGTTTAACTGAAACCCACTGTCTACATGATGTGTAGATGGACCATAGTCTTGAGGGAGGATACTTTGGTTGCAGTCACATCCTGAAAACAGAGATAGCCAAGGCCTTTCTGCCTCTCATCCTTTCTGAGAAACAAGAAACAAGAGAATGAATCAGTGAACTTGGTTAAAGCTGCTTTCCACCTCCAGATATTATATCACCATGATTCTAATTCTGATATCTATCTTCTTTGTGAACCTTGATGATCTTTTTCTCACCATATGCAAGAAGGATAATTTACAGAAAACAAGTTTTCCAGATACACTATTGCCGTCTTTTTTTTTTAATGTTAAATAGCAACYATAAAGAAGTCATTATACCAAACTGGAGGTATTATACCAAACCTGAGGCTGCTTTGTTGCTTCTTTTTGATATGTCATGATAGAGGGAAAGGGATGCTACTCCTTAAGAGGGAGGAAAGATCAGTGGTGCAGGCATGCAAAAGAAAAATCAGCACGTGTTTGCTCTTAATTGATCTCTTCTATTTTCTTTTACATTCAGCCAACAAGAAGCTGAAGAAAAGAAAAAGGCTGAAGCCCAAGCAAGAAACAAAAGAGGATCCGAAAATTCACCTTCATATGAAGTGAGTGGGATCCATCTAACAAATCCTCCTCTAACTGAACACCTCAAAGAAACTATCAGAAAATCCCAACCCWTCAATCCCATATAGCATTGAGTTGAATGCAGTGGGATATTGTGCTGTACTTGGATCTACAGAGACTAACTTGTCAACTATAAAGAACTTCTTGGAGTCAATAATTGAGTTCCAGTTCTAGTTTCAAACTTTCCAGATAGAGGCTTTTAGCTATTGCTTAGTACTGTCCAGAAAAAACAGTACATGTGCAATTTCTCCAGATGAATACCTGAAATTTCATATYTGAGTMGAAATAAAAATGCCCTGATTCTATAAAAGACATGGATTTTACCTCTGAAATATTACAGTATTCATTAGATGAATGATCAGCACAACATGTTGTAATGATGAGTGTTGCTTAATTCTCTCTCTAGATTCTGTCCTTTCTCTTATCCTCCTCTTATTAACCTAATACAGTAAAAGTAATATTGCAAAATGTAAATCAGGTCATAATACTGCTCTACTTAAACCCACAGTCACTACTTATCAGCTACAGGATACAGTTTACTCTCATCCCTCTCTCTTAATTTGCTTCTTTACCTCCATTCAGAAATCCACTTTCCACTATATGCTATATAATTTTGCATCTGTGTCTCTTGGCTTGTTTTATTTTCACAATATAGTGCACATATTCTAAAGTTCATTATTTTTAACCTAGGAAAATGCTACTTTTGACAGACTTACTTAAATTATTCTTGACATCTTTCCTGGTTTCCACCATCAAATTCCATGATCCCAGACATTTAGTTGTCAGATATATTGTACCTGTATATTTTCATTTATTTTATTCTGTTCAGTTTATGGTAGGGTTTGCTTGTGTACCTCTTGTATCATCTTGAGATGTTCTATTATTTCTTATGTGTGGCCATTTCTTAGAAAATGATATTTTGTTATTGTTGTTGACTTAAATTTTACATTTAAGAGAAATATAATTAAACTCCTGGGCTTATCAAAATATAACACTAATGTAGGCCAATGTAGATGTTTGAATTAACTTCCTTCCCATACCATGGCAGGATCTTTGCAGTGAATATCRACAGTTGGTGAGGGATGGGAGACTCCCCTGCACCAGAGAGAATGACCCCATTCAGGGCCCAGATGGGAA